TAGAAGCCACTGATCTTTACAGTCTTTGTGCTTTTGCGTGAATGTCATAAAACTTGATTCATATAACCAATAATCTTTCCCAATTTTGCCCTCTTTCACTTAGTAATATGCATTCAAGTTTCCTCTTTCTCTTCTTATGTCTTGATAGCTCATTCTTTTTAGAGTTGAATAACTTGTTTCTTTTATTCTAATACTTCATATCACTTTTATATTTCATCTTTGCTCCTGCTGGAGTTTATGTCAGGGGCAGGATTGAAGTTGAGATTCGGTTCATCCTCCTTCTTCTGCCCAGATATCCAACTAGTTGTCTTAAGGTCACTTACTGAGCCATCTGTCTTTGAAGTGCCAGCCAGCATGTGTACTTGGTGCTCCTTCTAGACTCGTTAGTCTGTTTTATTGATCTACCTGTCATCTCCTGCAGCAGGACTACACTGTTAATCACATTCTAAAAACATTCTATGTTATTCTTGGTCTATTTGTTCCATCATTGCTGACCATATTATATCTGGGAATTCTCTGATGTATTTCCAATAGGCTTTGATTTGTGTTGTGGCTTGCCTTGTTGTCTGACACATTAAGACTCATCACTGTTATATTCTATGAGGGACTCAGATTTTCTTTGGTATAAAGTGACTAACTCTTTCTTCTTTGAGACTTTTGGCTAGATAAGTTTCAAATCCATCTTTCCTGTTCTTTTTTGATGTTTATTTCCCAAACATACCTTTCCTTTCCCTGATTCTATCCTTTTAAGCAGTAACAATTTTATTGAACTTAACTAAATTGTTTTGATTCTTAGACTTGATAAAATAACCTAGTTATATGTTTGTACGTTCATGCCTACTTGTTTGTATTTCAGTCCCCTCATTTGACACAGTATGCATTCATTACAATATTACTTGCACTTATTATTATATAAATTACTGAATATACTTTAGTGTTTAGAATGAGTTTGGGGTAAAATCAAGAAAGAAAGAGGCCTTCTTTTAATTCTATTGTGACTTCATTCTATTTGTGATTATTGAACAATTTAGTTTGTGTGTGTATTTTGAAATAGAGGTTTGTTTTGTTGCCTTGTCTAGCATTGAGCTTGGAATCTTCAGGTTTCAACACCCTCAGAAAAGGACTACAGATATGTACCACCACAATTAATACAGGTACGGACCATCACAATTAGTATGGATTTTCAAGAATATTCTGAGAACTAATTTATAGTCTTAGAAATATAACATAGAATTTTTTATTTTGTTGTTACCTCTATAGATGTTAGCCTTATGTGCCAATCTTGGGCACTCTGCCATAATCTTTGTGTGATAGTCCACCATTAATAATTCCTGGTGGTTAGTGCTTATAATGCCAACACTGGAAGGCCAGGGGAGAAGGATTTCGACAAATAAGAGGCCAGCTTTGGCTACATTGAGTGTTCTAGAATCACCTAAACTATGAGTACCACATGAGCAAAAGACAAAATAATTCATTCCTCTGCTTCCCTTCGTTCTTTCTCCCTTCTTGATTTAATCATTTTTTTTAAAATTGCAGCAAATGTATAGAAAAGCAAAGACAACAACAACAACAATGAAAGAACAACAACAAAACCTAGAGATATATATAACTCAAGGTAACCACAAAGGCACACATAAAAGCTACATATTTTTTAACTATCCAGTTTACAAGCTCTGACATGCTCCCTCCCAGTCAATAGCTCTACCCCAATCACTGAACCTCAATCAACACCATCAAATCCTTTAGCCTCTTTTGTCTGAGCCTGAGCAATTGCCCTTGACACATGCTCCAACTGGTCTCAGTCTACACAGGCGCCATCCTCCCATGACTCTGACCAGCAACTCCACATACTTTAGTTTTTATGATTGTCAATTCTGTGTCCACTATGAAAAGAGCCCATTGGACCTCTGCCTGAACCATCTTCCTCTGGGTCATGGCCTGGAAACCCTCCAGGCCATCATCTGACACAGGGCTCACTTCCTTTTCTGACTTTTGGGGCCACTGAGATTTATTATTAGCACCTTTACATGAGAAAAAAAAAAAACTAATGGAGGGTGACACTACTCCTGTCTTCCAAGAGAACAAACAAGGCTTATATTTAATTTACCTTCTTCTTAATTTTTTCATATATCTCTAACTTTCTACCTGGAACCAGTATTTTCTATCCCTGTGGAGCATCTGGGGATCAACAGACCTACTTTTTATCCCTTACAAAATTGCCTTAATTAGTCCATATTCTTGAAACAATTTTTTCCTACAGGGTTTCCCAGTTCCTCGCTGACTATTACTTGTCTGCATTTTCTTTGCATTTCTGCTATATCTACTGGAAACTCAGCTATTGGCAGAGTGTTTACTTGATGACTATTTTTTAGACATTTTTACTTTTTAGATGTTCTTTTTACCTTTGGAACTCAGCAGTTTTGTTGTGATTGGACTCACTGTGGATTTATTTCTATTTATTCCGCTTGGAGCACATACCATTTGAAGAAATTTGGCCATTTCAGCAGTTTCACTGTGATGGGCCTACTTGTGGATTTACTTTCATTTGTTCTGCTTGGAGTTCAAAACTTTTGGCCCACAATACCTTTTATCGATATAGAAAGTTGCTCAAATAATTCATTCAAATAATAGTGCTGATCAATTTGTACTTTAATTCAATCCATGATATACTTTGGCACTATGTAATAAATAACTTCCCCATACTTTAGTTTGGATAGATTTCTCATATCTAACCTGTGGTTTACAAACAATCTTTCATATGTCTAATATACTGTTAGACCATGAATGTGTTCATTGAGTTAATTCGAGTTAGCACATGTTTTGCTTCTGGCTTGTTTTTACTTTCTTACCTTTGTTTTCAATAACCATTCTCAGCTAAAAAATCCAATTTTGCCTTTATTACTTTATGAGAATACAGTGTCAGGATCTTTTTAAAAAATGCTTTATTTATTTTTTAAAATGTTTTACTTATTTTTATGTTATGTGTGTTGGTATTTTGCTTACATGTATGTCCTGCACAGTATATCTGACACCATGTAAGGATGTCAAATCACTTGGAATTAAAGTTATAGACAGTTGTGTGAGCTGCCATGTGGATGCTGGAAATTTGGACCCAGGCCTCTAAAAGAGCAGCCAGTTCTTTTAACCACTGAGCCATCTTTCCAGCCTTCAGTGCCATTGTTTTCTACTTTGTTGTTATCAGTAATATGTTCAGCTCTTGTAGGCTAACTTCTCTCATACCTGTGTCTTGGCTATCTTACTTCCTTTTATCTGTTTGGTTGAGGTTTTTTTTCTGCATGTATGTATTAGATATTGTATTTCAGTAATTATTTATAAAAGTTGTTTGATGTGGACAAGGCCCTTTCTTGCTCTTGTTACTACTTCATGTGTGTTTTTCTCAGATGTTTGGGAGACCTGGAGGTTGGGCTGGTATTAATTTACTTTGGGGATGGAAGTAACTTGAAAGTGAGCAGCATGTTTCAGGAAGCAGCCCCTTAGCTGGCTCACTATCCTGCTAGTGTATAAATCTTTGGATTTTCTACTCACAACCCTTGAAAAGGCTGTAAGAGTCCTGTCTTTTTAGCAACCTAACTTCAGACATTTTTTGCTGAAACAGTAAGTTACCTAAGACAAAGGCAGTTTTAGCTTTGGGCTCACTATCTAGAGAGTCACTTTCTCCTGGACCTGGCCTGACAAGTCTTTATTGTCCTCTTAACTTTTTAACATTTTAAACAGCTTTTCACTTATACTTATATGTATACGTATACATATGAACTATCTATCTATCTATCTATCTATCTATCTATCTATCTATCTATCTATCTTTTATCCATCATCTATCTATCATCTATATAATATGTTAATATTTATTACATATGTAGCTCATATGTAATAACAATAGGATTACATGAAAGATAATATAACCAACTAAGACAGTATATTTATTTGTTGTTTAGGTTGGCAAATTGGCACTAATGAGAGAAATGACCCAAGTTATTTTGACTTTAATTGGTAAGAATAGAAGTAATCTTTGTCACTTTTAGATACTATATACTTTTGAAGTTAAAAAGATAATTGGTTATACTAGTTTGATACTAAAAAATGATTATTTTAGCAGCTTCCATATGTTTAACTTGCACTTTCCCACACAGAACCTTCCTGCTGTGCCTTCTTCAGTCTGAATCTTGTTTCCCTTTCTGCACTTAGATTGTAAGATCTAAACAACTGTAAACAAGCCTTTGGTTCAGTTCTTCAAAGCCATGCCATGATGGCAGTTTTCCTAAATCTTTGTTTTCCCAAGGAACTATTACTTGACAATTGCTTTATGAGGTGCAGAAATGGGATCCCAAGCAGCTCAGCCACTCTGGTTTTTCCTGGCAGTTGGGGCTGGGAACAGACTAAGGCCAATGTAATTCCAGTGATATTGCTTATACTGATTTTGTCTTTCTTGTAGCCTTTCTAAGCTACCAATCTTCAGAAATTACTTGAGGCTATGGAGGCGTCTGTATTTATTTGAATTTTCATTACCTTTGCATATAAATATAATGCATACTCTTATGCTCCAGGTATAGATGCTGCCTTGCCTTAGGAAACCATCTTTTTTTTTTTTGTCTATTATTTTTCTACAGATTGCTTTATTTCTGTAGGCTCTGTTACTCTTCTTGATATTCCAAGGATATGTATATGGAGATTTAGACTTCTGGGCTTATTCTCCATATGTCTCATATTTACTCTCATTTTTGTTATATATTCATTTCAATGGTTCCAAAACTATTGCTTATAGAATCCAGACAGGTAACAATAAGCAAAGTGAACGATGCTGGCCTGGTTCAAAAATAATGAGTGACATGGATTGAGGACAGCAATGATATTGCACGAAGATGCCAGTGTAAGAACACAGCATCAGAATTCTATGCTTCTAGAAGAATCCATACCTGACTTTTAATACCAAATACTCCTTTGTAAGGAAAAACAACTGAAAAAAAGACCACACAACTTACCATTGGGAAGTTCTTGGTCACACACAGAATGATTGGTCACGTCACTGTCTTTTATAGCATTGTCATCTTTTGCAGAATCTGCAAACAAACAAACAAACAAACAAACACATGGAGCTTTTAATTGTCATTTTCAAGTGGGAAAAGGAGCTTCTTCTATTGCTAACTGGGTGGATTTATATTTAAGACAACACGCTTTATTGTTTCAGACTGTAACCATTGAAACAAATATTTTCACCATCAAAGACTAGTTTCTTAAACTACTGCATAAGAAAGCAGCATAAAGCTTCAAAAGCAGCAAAAAGTAATGGAGGTATCTTTGGAAGAAAGCATACAGCAGGTTTCATGTACCAGTGAAAGTCTCAGAAATGTGGGCATGAAAGGAGGGCAAACCAGAAAAGATTAAAGGAATATCTAACTTTAATAGTTTCAATGGTGTGTGTTCTAGTTGCACACATATGTGAGGGTCAAGTCCCCAGTAAAGTCAAATATTGAATCTTGGAAATATAATCACAAGCAAGGTCCTCCCAAGGTCCCAAAACAGTTGACAAGGGCAAGGAGGGGACACAGAGCTTCTGTTTTGTACAAAGTGATTCTCATCCTCAAGTGCCTTTAAAAATATCCAACCAATACATATTCACTTAAAAATATTGTTTATTTTATTTTGTGTGTGTGTGTGTGTGTGTTTATACACATATAGAGAGAATACCCTGGCATGCATGTAGAAATAAAGGACAATTTGTGCTAATTGTTTCTCTCCTTTTGCTCTGTAGGTCTTGGAAATTAAACTCGGGTCATCAGGCTTGGTACTAGGCCCCTTTTCCTCATAAGTCTTCTTGCCAGCCCCTACATGCTCAACTTTAATGTTACAGCTTATATTATAGAACAACTAACATTACTTAAAAGATTCTGTCATAAAGAACTTCTGCAAATCAAGAAGGATGGGTGTTGAGTCCGTCTGGAGAATCTTGATAAAGGGCATTGCTCACCTATCAATAGGTGAGCTATAGAGAAGTAGACCTTGCACTCATTTTACAAGTACTTGTTGAGGGCTAACTACATGGTAGATACCGTTCTAGCCTTGGGGACTCAACAGGGAATAGATGCTTGCCTTCATGAAACTTATAGTCTAGTATGCCCTCCTTACAAAACTCAAAGTCCCAAATATTACTAGCTGATCTTGTCAACATGCAGCTGGGAAGAAAACCAAAGCCATCAAACCTCATGTAATTCCTATGAATTGTTTCTTCTCGTGGTTTGTGCCTTTTGGCTGGGTTCTAAGGCTTTGATAGAGCAAAGTCAGATAGAAACCAAAATAAAATTTTGTTTGTTTGATTCCCTTCCCTGTCTCCCTCTCTTCCATCCTCCCCTGCTTCTCAAAACTGGAGGATAGCTTCAAACATCATCATGTGTTTTGATTGTTATGAGAAGCGCGTTTCTTCAGCCTGCCATAAGCAACATTTGACGGACAAGTGAGAAACCTAGGTAGTTACCATATGATTTGGCTTTAATAACCAATGAATCAAGTATACACCGTAGTGCGCAGCTTTAATTAACTGCAAATAATTCCCCCCCAGGGCAAGCGCTTAATCCTCTGCATTGCTTCTCGTTCTTTCGGAGCCTGACAATAAGTTTAAAAGTCAGAAATTGGAAGCAAAATTGAGCACAGACACATTTCCTGAAACTGTTATCTCTTGCATGTCAAAAATGGCAAAACCAACTCTCATTAAAATAAGCTTTTTAATGTTGGCGCTAACACCAAAAAGAAGATTGAAGCGAAAGCCTTCAAATGTCTTTTTCCACATTAACACCAAGAATAAAAAATGGTTAAAAGAATTTGTGTCAGCATAAGAAAGTGCTTTTAGTTTTCTAGTTTTTAGTTTATAGGAAATATTATAACGAGTAATTTCACACAACATTCATTTCTTTCAACATTAACATTGAGATCCATGTATATTTGAAGTATGTTAATTTATATAGAACAGTAACCACATATTGTACCAAATATTACTCTCAAATGTCTATAAGTTTGTTCATTTGTTTGTCAGTGTTTTTAGTTCAGTTTTTGCTATGGAACCCAGGCTGGGCTGGAACCTGTAACCCCCCTGCCTCTTCTTTCTGAGATTACAGGGATACCGCTACACTCAGCTAAGGAATGTCTTTTAGACAGTTAGATTATGTGTTCTGAGTTCATAAGCTTATAGTAGAATGATTTATATAAAGTAGATGGAAAGCATTTGAAACTGACTCGTGCCACTCCCCCATTTCTGTAGCCCTGACCTATCTACCGTGCACACCTGTGTGGGTGTTCTTTTTCTCACTTTTTTTCTTTACCACATTTAATAGTGATGAGTCATAATTATGAAAGTCTGAGAACAAAGTGAAGGATAAGATTGGCAGGAGGGTGACCTAAGGAATCCAGCATTTTTCCAGACCTGCATGGTGAGACATTAATATCCCTCTACAGTTGTACACTCCTGGGTGCTTTTGGTGTTATTATCCTTGTAAAACAAATACACTGGCTAGCCTAAGCCCATTTACAGCTAGCATATCTGTGTCCTTAGCACCCAGTGCAGTCCTCAGTCTCGTCGGTGTGCTCATGGCGGTTGGGTGGGGGAAGCCTACAACAGCAAACTGGTTTTTACTGTATTGCTTCTACCAGGACCCTCCCTCTGCTGTCTGACACAAGTCAGTTAACAGCTTCCACAGAGGACTTTGTAAGTCAGGTCTGGTGCCTAAATTCCAGCTCCCCAAAAAAAGACTTGTTAAAGGTGGTGCTAAGAACGCCTTTATTCCTATCAAGCAGCCCATTTTCTTGTCCTTGGCCCACGTCAGATTCTTGCCAAGCAGCCCCAAAAGCTCTCCGCCTCTCCCCTTTTTTTATTTCATAAACAAGACTGAGCCTGATTGTCCAAGGACAAGGAAGTGGGCTTCAGGCAAGAATCTGACATTAGACTAGAACAAAGAAGTAATTTCAGGCAGGAATCTAAATTTTAGGCTAGAACCATGAAGTAGGCTTCAGACATAAAATGACCTTGGGCTATGACAGGGAAGTTGGCTCAGATACTTGGGTCATCCTGATAAGCACTTAGAAACACTGATCACAGGAGTGTTCACAGAATTTTGTTTATTGCCTTGCTTGTTCTTTGAATATTTGTGTTTATTGTCTTGCTTGTTCCTTGACTATTTGCATCTACTGTATTGCTAGTTCTTCAAACTAGAACTGACCTCAATACTTGCATGTAATTAAAATAGTACAAAAGCAAAAAGGAGGAGGGGGGATGGGATAGGGAGGTTCTAGGGAGGGGAAATGGGGATAGAAGCTGGCATTTGAGATGTAAATAAATAAAATATCCAATAAAAAAAGGAAAAAAAAGAATGCTTTTATTTTCTATTTTTTCGTTTTGTTTTGTTTTGAAGTAGGCTTTTCCTTCATAGTTTAGACAGGTCTGAATTGTCAAGCCTCCTGCTTCAGCCTCATTGGTGCTAGTATCACCAGCCTGGGTTAGGACACAAAGCTATAGTATATCTTCTTGTAAGTCAGGGGTTAGAAAACTATAACCTGCGGGTCAAGATAGAGCATCACCTATTTTGGTATGACCTTGTGCTATGGATGAATTTTATGGTTGAAAACAAGATAATAATATATTATGATACTTTAAAAAGTATGTAAAATTCCAATTTCAATGAGCCTGTATTTCAATAAATCTGTATGGAGAAGCAGCCATGCTTCTTTGTTTATACATTAAATAAAGTAAAATACGATATTTATCATATATATGATATATATCGTATTTTATTTTTGACTTCTTTAGGGAGTTGATTTAAAATCACTGAAGCAACTTCTGAGCTTACAAACTTTGCATAGTCTTACTTAATATATAGAGTATATCTCAGTGGCTCCATGATACAACAAACTGTTAATTTCAAAATTATATAATGCTACCAAATAAATATAGCATGTTATAAATTTTAAGACATATTCTGGTGTTAGGTATGAAATACCTGAAAGAAAATAAAACTTAAAGATGTGTTATTCGAATATATCTGTGTATTTACACAAATGCACATTTTATGTGCTAATGAAAATTTCAATATTTCATCAATAATGACCAATTATTAAGTATACTTTGTTTCAGATGTAAAACTTATCTCCCTAAAGCAATATGAGAACTCTATGCCCATGACAACAGTCACACATACCCACGGAGCTATGGAAGACTGTTCCTACAGAAGTCATTTTACTAAAACACTGCTTGAATTTCCAGCCTCACAAACTAGCTACACTGGGCTTCATCCCATGTGTTTCAATTCATGGCCCCTACTATATCATAGTTAAAAATTTTAAGTGATAGTGGATTTTAAGCTTTTCTGCTTAAGTAGACAGTGGAAGACACATTTTAAATAATTATTTACTTGTTTTATGTATACGAGTATGCCATCTTTATGGACACCAGAAGAAGGCATCAGATCCCATTACATATGGTTGTAGGCTACCATGTGGTTGCTGGGAATTGAACTCGGGACCTCTAGAAGAGCCAGTGTTCTTAACTGTTGAGCCATCTCTCCAGCTCCATGGAAGACACATTTTAATATGTATATGAGGTTATCCTTTGTAGGGAGAGGGAGAATATGTATCTAGTTGTTGAGATTTTAATGTTGTATCCTCATCCCAAACTCATACAATAAAATTCTAACCCATACAGAGAGGGCATAATGGAGAGGGCCTGGCCAGGGGAGTCGGCCTTGCTGGTAGACTAGATGCCTTTAGAAAAGAGGACCAAGAGACACATCTCATCTCCCCCTCATGTAAGGAAATAGCATAAAGTGTCTATTTGCGGATAGAAGGTGGAGATCAGTAGTCAGGGATGCAGGCAATGCCTTGGTCGTGGACTTTGCAACCTCCAGAATGACAAGAAATGCACTGATTTTGTTTAGAAGCTATTTTATTTATGACTGACTATTATTTATGATAAACAGGCTAGGTAGCATTGCACATAGTAAGGAAAGGGTTGATTATCCATCTGCAAGTTCCACAAATCACTTTAGAAAATGGGCTTGTCTATGCTGAGCTCTTCCGC